ACAGTCCCACATAAATAAGTTATTATCTCTATTGTCAAAGTACTCGTGATAGACTAGAGGAGTTAAGACAGCAGCACAAGTACCCAGTGTGAGGAATAATGTCCTAATGCACTCTACTGAAAATGCTCTGGAAGTTTGGAGGAGAAATGAATCGTTATAGTCTGGGACCCTCAAGGGAACTACATAGAAAAGGTAATTTTTTAATTGGGACTTGGAAACTAGATATTTTTCTACGCAGGAAACTGAGCAAAGTATGGATGCAGGAGAAAAAAAACACATTTTCTAGGAATTCAGGTTCTGTAAACCCCTTGGCTTTCTTGCACTTACAACAGCAGAATTTAGACTAGATATGAGTGACTGCCCCCCTTCCAAACATCTACTATTCTTTTTATTTTATAAAGCACTTTTGATTATATTGCTTTTGGCTCTTCTGCTATTTTACATAATAAAAATGAATCCAGCCATCAATTTCTGAGCCCTCAGAGGTCTCACAGTTATGAGTGACACTTCAAGGACCTTATGGCAATTTTCCTAAGTTAATTTTCCCTTGCTGAGAGCCTAGCGTTTTCACTCAGTGAATTAGCTCAGCATTCTTGTCTTAGTCTATCATTCTTCACACTGTTCACTCTCACTTGGTGTTTACTACTCTTACCTTATGTTATGTGCAAGGACAATGTGTGCTTATTAATGATTTGGGATTTATGAAGTAGTTGGAACACATTGTGCTAGTTGTTAAGCATCAGTTATAGATAAGGTGACCAAATATCAATAACTGCCCAAACTTGGATTCTTTGAAGAATGAATTAATAGGACTCTAGGGCAACAGACATAAATGAAGATTACCTCAAGGAAGCTGCTGTGTGTGGCTAACTAAAATGCATGATTAGCTAGTCAGCTGGCCTAAAGGGAGCTCTGGAGGCATAGTCTGTAGCGAGTTGCATTGCTAACCTAAAGGCCAAGCCTCTGTTGTTCAAATCCACCTGTGGCCCCCAGAGAGAAAGATGAGCAGTCTCCTCGCATAGTATCTGCATGCTTGGAAGCCCAGTGGAGGGTCAGTTATGATTTTATTTACAACTCAGCCACAATGAGTAAGCTGGCATATCGACTACAGATGAGGAATAGGAAGATAATACTTGAGAACAGCAAGTGTGGGCTAGTTTTGAAGGATACTGAACATCACAGGAGAGATTATGAGGATGGCGCAGGTTAGGCCAGAGCTCAGATCTATCACTCATAGAATACCCGTGAATTGTAGTCGACTTGAGAACCTCTGAACAACAACAAATACCAAGCTAAATAATTAGATTTTTATATTATTAGCTTTGAAAATATTTTCCTGTCCATCTGTTGATCGATGTCTGGGCTGTTATTACCTTTTGGCTATTTTGAATAATATCACAGTGAACATTGATATGAAAGTGTCTGTTTGAGTCCCTGCTTTCAAGTCTTTTGGATAGATACCTTGAAATAGAACTGTATGCTTTTTGGAAGCAGAATGCTTTGCATGTTTTCCAAGGTACTGAATGGGGTTTAACCATGAACTTTTTGGTACAATGAGTGGCTGTACCACCAGGACTTCTGCTTTTAAAATGCTTTATTTTATCATGCAATCAACCTTGACTGTCTATATTTTGTTTCAATTTGAAGTCTAATTTAGAGAGAATTTTAATTTCTCATTAATTCTTCTTTACTTGCCCCTTTTTGCATTTGTATCCCATGGAGTGGGTCAGACTATTAAGAAAGAAAATTCATTTTCTACCTAGAAAGTTAGTCAGAGGTTCATGAAAGAGGGATCTGTGACCTTAACCCTTGACAGATTGATAATGCAGTGCTGAAGAGGATGTGCCAGTTCTGGAAAGCCATGTAATGCAAAGAGAAGGGAGCAGAAAGGTTGTGGGACGTAGGTACCTGATTGCTGAGTGACTTCTAAAGCAATGGAAATTTAAAAAAAAAAAAAAAAAGATCACTAGCCGGTTTTGACACTCCTAGAAAGTACAGGAGAGAAAATAAATTTTTTCATTCCCAGATATATCCCAATTTTTAAAAAACCCTCTAGTGAAAGAAATTATTAGCTGACTAAGGTACTGCTGCTGTTGTTGTGTATTATAGAGTTGGAATAGACCCATAGCTGACCCTCTGGTGGGTTTTCAGGGACAGTAATTGTACAGGAGGAGAATGCCCATCATTTAAAGCCAGCCTTTAACTTTTTTTTTTAAATAATTTAGGTGAAATACCTTTTCACTCAAGTCATTTTCATAAAAATATCACTAGACATGCTCCAGACTGAAATGTTTACTTGTTGGTATAGTGAAGGCTTGTTGAAAGAATTGATGAGTTCAGGGATCTTTGGAGATACCTATCTCTCTTCAGCTTTCCTCAACAAGAAAATGAGCTAATGATCTGAAGAGAACAACCAATTTATAAAAAAAACCCCAAGTTTATTTATTTACATATGCTTGTACTCCATCATTAGAGAGCTCCGGTGACCTAGTCTATAGAGAATTGCACTGCTCACCCAAAGGCCATGCTAGCAAGGAGACGACAGGCAATCTCCCAGCTCAGGAGGAGGTCTGGCAGTCTCCTCCCCTTTGATGCACAGCCTAAGAAACGCAGTGAGCTATGAGTCGATTCTGACTTGACAGTAATGAGATGCTTCATCATCATATGCCATCATATGACCGGTTAAAGATTTCTAAGTTTTTATTCTTTCTTTTCACTTTTAAATAATTTTTTAAATTTCCTTTAAATTTATTAAAATGTAAATTTTTTAAAATGAGTGATTCTCCTTTGCTTTGATTTCCTTCTGTTTATTTAAGTACTATAACATTTAGCACATAAAGCTATTTCCCCAGGACAATCCTGTCTCTGCCCAGGGCTGACAAGAAAAGAAACAATTTCTCAGACTAGTGGAGCTTGATAACCATTGAGCTAAACAATTTGTCTTCCTCTTTATCCTGCTTATTAACAGAAATGGTTGTGATGATAGGAAAATGCCTCCTGTATATAGCCTGCAGCTTGGAAGGATTATTGGGTCAGAGACCGTTTTCTTGTGTCAGGTCCTGTTAAGAAGCAGCTGTTATCTGAATAACAGTCCTGCTCATTGCATGTTCGCTGATGTAGTGTCTTGTAGACAATCTCTGCCTTTAATACAGTCAGGTCAAGCAGTGACTCAAGTGTTGTTATCTAGCATGTGTAAATGTATCAAGGTAAAGAGCCTTTTGATCTAGAATATACTTCTATGTTTTTATGGGAAGTTGTTCCTTCTTTAAAAAATAGCTCCCTTGGATCATACAACTGAAGATTATCGTCATACCTCTAAGTGTGTAGCATTTCTCACCTATCTCTTTCCTCCTCATATTCTCCATTCGTTTGAGAGATGCTTAAGGCAGAGCATGCCAGTAAACACTTCTCAAAGAGTAATCATTCTGAAAATCACTGCCTAACACAGTCAACACTCTTGGCACCAGCAGTCAGGAAATCAAAAAGCGTATCGCGATGGGAAAGTCTGCTGTTAGGGACCTCTCTAAAGTACTCAGGAGCAACGGTGTCTGATACAGGCCATGGTCTTTGCAATCGCTTGTTATGCATCAGAGAGTTGGACAATGACTAGGGAGGACAGAAGGAGAGTTGATGCCTTTGAGCTATGGTGCTGGAGAAGAGTACTGAATGTACCATGGACTGCCAGGAAAACAAACAGATTCATCTTGGAGAGGATTAAACCAAGCTACTCCTTGGAGGCAAGGATTCTGGGGCTTCATCTGACATACTTTGGACATGTTGCCAGGAGGGACGGGTCCTTAGAGAGGGACATCATGCTTGGGAGGGTGGAGGGACAGCGCAGGAGGGGAAGACCCTCTATGAGATGGATTGATTCGGTGACTGGGGTAATCAGGATGGGCGTGTCAGAGGCAGTGCGGTTGGCGCAGGATAGAGCAGGGTTTAGGGCTGTTGTGCATAGGGTCGCTATGAGTCGCAAATGACTCGACGGCACATAACAACAACAACAAACTTGGGAGGGACTGGAAAGTATTATGCTAAGGGAACTAACTCAGTCCCATAAGGACAAATACTGTATAAGACCATTATTGTAGAAAGAAATATAACTAGGACAACATATATGAGGATCAAGGGGGTGAGGGTAGGAGCAGAGCAGTGAGGATGGGCAGGGAGGTAATCAAAGGCTTGCACAAGGAAATGGGAAAGGTGCAGTGTGAAAAACAGTATATACAAACAAAAATGTAAACCGGGACAAAATTAAATTGCATTTAAGGGAAAAAAAGACCGAGTCAGAACTGACTCTTAGCTGACTCTCCATTGGGTTTCCAAGGCTGTAAATCACATGAGAAAAGATTTCCCACCTTTCTCCCGTAGAACCACCAGTGGATATGGATGAGGTCACAGGGCTCTCAGGTGCCCCAACTCAACTCTACTCATTGCTGTTGAGTTAGAATCAACTCCTAGCTGACCCTCCAGCAGGTTTTCACAGGGCATAAATTGCATGAAAGCAAATTGCTTATCTTTCTCCTGTATATCAACTGGTGGATTTGAACCACCTGTCTTTGGATTGGTTGTGCAGTTTACCCACTAGGCCCCCAGAGCTCCTTTCCTAAGTACCTAGTAAACAAAACCCTTCAAACTCCTTGTCTTCAAGGTAGGTGTTACTCATAGCAACCCTATACGATGCAACAAAATAAACCCCATAGTGATTATAAGTCTCATTTGAAGTATAAGTGTAAACTAGCTTTACTCATAATTTTATCTTTTTTCACTAAATATTTTGCTATTTTTCTGTTGTGAGAACAGTTATATTTCACCTTTTTTTAATTTCAGGTAACTTGGGTTTTTGCTCCTGTAACAACTGAAATAACAAGTCTTGATACAGAAAATATAGATGAAATTTTAAGTAAGTATCTCAGTATTCTTACGTATTTATAAAGTATGCTATATGATATATTTACCCAAAATTAATAAAATCTTAGTTACCTAAAATAGTTGAAATGTTGACATTTTATTAATTCAATGGCTGACTAAAAGGAAAAAGTACTTCTAGTTTTCAAATGTACATGTTTATTGTGAAAATAACTAAATTTATCATTGTTGAAGCTAATTTTCTTTCTTTACCTTATATCTACAACCTTTCTTAATAAAGTATTTTTGCTAAAGTTATAAACCAGAAGTTAACACTGTACAATAGAGGTATTTACTGATATTGGGACATAGTTTTGAATTTTTATTTAGTCTATACGGGTCCTTGGAGAGGGACATCATGCTTGGGAGGGTGGAGGGACAGCGCAGGAGGGGAAGACCCTCTATGAGATGGATTGATTCGGTGACTGGGGTAATCGGAATGGGTGTGTCAGAGGCAGTGTGGTTGGCGCAGGATAGAGCAGGGTTTAGGGCTGTTGTGCATAGGGTCGCTATGAGTCGACTCGACGGCACATAACAACAACAACAACATCACCCACTCTAATCTTTTATTGTCATTTAGTCAGTAAATTCAATGTGTTCTACTGAATGGTTTATTTGTTGAAAATGGGGTTGTAAATAAAAGTAGGGCAGGGACTTTCTGGTTTATAAAATAGAGTGAAGATGAAGACATGGTTGATAGAAAAAAAAGCGATGTGCATGCATTTTTCTTTATAAAGCACTTCATTTTACTCTTTTAATTTAACATAATAAAACCTAAATAATATCAGTAAAGGAGTTACCACATTTTCTGGGCATTATATTTTTCCGTGTTCCTGGAATTGGTATTAAATGTTAAAAAAATGACAGCAGTGGTTTTTTATATACATTAGCGTGCATCAGAATTACCTGTAGAGCACCGTATTGCTAGGCCCTGTCCCTAGTTGCTAAGTGTATTGCTAGGCCCCATCCCAAATTTTGCATTTCTATAAGTTCCTAGGTGATGCTGATGCTTCTGATCCAGGGACCACACTTTTGAGCCACTGCTTTAGCGTGACTAAGCAAGTGGATAAAAAGTAAGAAAGGAAGAGGAGAATTGGAACTCCCGTACCATTCTCACTACTTTTATTCTCCAACTTCTAGAATATCATTTTGTTTTATTTTGGTGAGTATTTCAGGAGTTTATCTAAGTTTCTGTGATGTAGGTTTAGGCAAATGTAATAGAGCTCCGTCTTTCTCATGCCTTCCTATCCTAATATGCCAATGATACAGTAAGTTAGTTTTGCAACAGAGAAGAAAATGAATAAGAGCCAGAAAATGATGCATCTCTGCAGGACTATAGATTACTTGGTGCAATAAGGAGGGACAAGGAGATGTTAAAGTGCATTAATTATACAACTCTTTCATGTGAAGACCTTCAACAAGATGGATTGACCCAGTAACTGCAGCAGTGGGCTCAAGTGTGTCAGATGATGAAGATGGCACAGGATAGGACAGGGTTCAGATCTGTTGTTCATGGGGTTGCTGTGAGTTGTACTCTACCGTACGTAAGAACAACAACTTATGTGAAATCGCATATTACTTATAGATTTATTCACAGAAATGAAAGATAAGAAAATAAATCAAGGCATTATAATCCAGATATTCCAAAATCATATTATAGTTTTGAATGTTTGTCATTACAATTTTTATAAGTAAGTTGTTGAATGACTTACTTTTCTTATCTCAGTTTGATTTCTCATTTGCTTATATTCTTTTAATATGCAGTAATAGTCTAAAATGGAGCATGCTATACAGTCCATTATACTATATGGACTAGGCTTTCTGAGTGAGAGCTAACCTAATTGTTACTGTTTATTTGAGTGGGCCCTTATAGTAGAAAAAGACTATAACAAAAACCTTAACTTTAGTTACATCAGAATTACAATCACAAGTAACTTTGGCTGTTTGGTTTTGTTTTTCAATTTCAGACAGAGCTGATGTTGCTTTAGTAAATTTTTATGCAGACTGGTAAGTAATAACCTTTGTACTTTTGTTCTTATATCATTTAAGATCGTTGGTTGTGTTGGGGTTTTTTTTTGTTTTTTTTAATTTGCTGGAGATGAGTTTTTCCTTGTTCTAATGGCTTGGGTGGGTAATCCTTTTTCTAATATAAACCGATACGCTCATAGGACATATTTCACAGAGAAAATCAGTTAAGAAGTATTTTTCTTGACTAAGGAAGTAAAGATGTGCATGTGGCAAGTTGAGAAGGAAAAATACTATTGACATTGTTCAGTTTACTTCTCTCCTGCTTCTGGAGAGCCTTCACTCCATCCCTTGATTGAATCAAATTCTGTCTTCTTTGTTCATGTAATACCCCCTTTTTTGCTTATTGTATTGTGCTTTTTGTTTTATTTGTTCATGTCCTAACAAGGAAACTTTGAGGACCAATATAACGAATTACTTAATTTTCCTAGCTTCTGAAGGAAAGACTTGCTCTGGAGGTGCTCAGTAAATATATCATGGAGATATATTCTCCATTCCTGGACCATTTGAACCTTTTTAAACCCTTTGAGGTATATCACCTATTAGCTGCCACTGGCCTAGTCGTAAGAAGCTGCACTGCAATCCCAAAGGTACCCAGTTAATTTATTAGCTGCTCTACTGGGGAGGATGGGCAATTTACTGTCTCTAAAAACCCACTGGAGGGTCAGCTCTGGGTTGATTCTGACTCAACAGTAAACAACAACAACAACTTTGTTTCAAGGGAGGACTAGTGGCTTGTTGTTGTTAGGTACTGTCGAGTTGATTATGACTCATAGCAACCCTGTGAACAATATATCTGAATCCTGTACTGTCTTGTGCCATCCTCATCTCTGACACGAGCCCATTGCTGTAGTCACCATGTCAGTGCATCTCAATAGGGGTCTTCCTCTCTTTCACTGACCCTCTACCTTTCCAAGCATAATATCCCTTTCCAAGGTGTAGCCTCTCCTGTCAACATAATATCTCTTTCCAAGGTATAGCCTTTCCTGTCAACATAATATCCCTTTCCAAGGTATAGCCTTTCCTGTCAACATAATATCCCTTTCCAAGGTATAGCCTCTCCTGTCAACATCTGGTAGCTTAGTAAGTAACTGGACCAACACAAAGGTACATGGTTTGAATCCACCAACTGTTCCATAGGAGAAAAATGGGTAATCTCCTGTTAGTTTACTGCTTCTGAAAATGTGCTAGAGAGTCTGCTGTGGGTTGGTTCTAACTTAGTAATACTCACCACCACCACCAACTCTGCTTCTAGCAGCAGTTGAATCTACAGTGTCCCTAGATTCTTGCAGTAGTCTCAATTTATTTTGTCTGTCTGGTTTTATAGACCTCAAATCTGTTTTCTAGAATGTAAGCCAGAGTGATTTTTTTCTAAGTGCAAATCATATTACTTTACATCCCTTCTTTAAACTCAGAAACAGTTTTGTTACCTCTAGATTAAAAGTCAAGTCCCTCTGGTGACCTAGTGGCAAGAAGCTGCACTGCAATCCCAGAGGTATACGGTTCAAATCCACCAGATGCTCTGCTGGAGAAGGAGGGACAGTCTCCTCCTGTACCAGTCAGATCTGATTTGATGGTACACACAAAAAAAATTTTTAAAGAAAAAAAAAAAGGTCAAGTCCCTTTCCTTGGCCTAGAAGTCTCAGATGGCCTGGTTCCCAATTAAGGCTACCCTGTATCTCATTATTTCTTGTTCTCTCTACTCACATTCTGCTCCAATTGTACTGAACTTCTTTCCATTCTTACAGTTTTCTGTAATTTTTCTTCATTAGATTTTTAGTTATAGTATTTCTTCTGCTTGCATGGATCACTGACGAACTTTACCTCATTAAAACTTTCAAGGATTTTTTAAATGAATATTTGTATTAATTCATATACATTGTGTTTCATACATGGACTTTTTTAAATACAGTCTTTCATTTATGGTATATTTTATCAAGCTAGCAACCCCATACATTTGTGCATGCCAGGTAGACGATGCTGAAGGAACACATCCAAACTCATCCACTTTCTCCGTTGTTGTATTTAAAGTTTTGAATTTGATGCTGCTTTCTCTGGATCATCTTTCTTAATTAGTGTCCCCACCTTTTCCAGTCAAGTCAGAGGTGCTTATTACAGCTTCCCATAATTCTTCCAGCTATAGCATGTTGTAAGGAGAAGACAGGTCTTTAGAGAGGGAGATCATGCTGTGTAGAGTAGAGGGACAGCGCAGGAGGGGAAGACCCTCTATGAGGTGGATTGATTCAGTGACTGAGGTACTCAGGATGGGTGTGTCAGAGGCAATGAGATTGGCACAGGATAGAGCACGGTTTAGGGCTGTTGTACATAGGGTCACTATGAGTCGCAAATGACTCGACGGCACATAACAACAACAACATAGCACTTGTATGCTATAGTTCTGTTGTTAGCTCCCTACTACATTGTGAGCTTTTTAAAAGCTGCTACAGTATCAAGCTTTTTCAGAAGTAAGCCCCAATTTGTGTAATACTTGACAAATAAGTACATAATAAATGTTTACTGAATAAATGAGTATGTGTATGTTAAAAGTATATGAAAAACTTTAGTAAAAATTTGAAGATAAGATATAATTTATAAAGATGTGTAAGAAAGCTAACATTTTCTTTCCATTAAGAGTCTCTGGATAAAAAAAAAAAAATTTAAAAAAAAGAGTCTCTGGATAAAACATTAGCCTTGCATTTTGGTGGAAGATTATCTGCTCCAGTCTTTCACTTTGAAAATGAGAACACTGATCAGAGGAATAGTGTACTTTCTCAAGTTCATTTGGCAAGATTGTGGCAGAGTGAAAAGTAGAAATTCATTTCTCATGGCTGAGAGATTTTTTTGTGATGTAAGAAAGAGAAATTGAATGTGCTACCACTCTTGTTGCAACAACTGGATTATTCAACTGAAAATACTTGGGCAGTTGGCTATTGGACCGGGTTCTGGCTTGTAGTCTGAGAAGCTAGATCTTGAGTTCCCTCTGGAAGTTCTGGATGTGGTAGAATCTAAGGAAGACTTCTCTGATAAAACGATCCAAACATAGTGGTAGGTTTCAGAGTGTAGGAAGCCATAATACATTCTTAATGATTTTATGTACCAAGTTCTTTACAAGTATTATTTTTTAATAGTCAGAACTCTGTAGGTGGGTATTAGAATTTCCACTTTAAAAGGTTGAGGTTCTGAGATTGCATCTGAGAAAAGTCGTATGACTAATAAGTGGTGGAACTGGAATTTAAATTAAAATTATGTTTAACTCCCAAGGAGCGATGGTGGTGCAGTGATTAAGAGCTTAACTACTGACTGGAAGGTCAGCGGTTTAAATCCACCAGCTATTCTACAGAAGAAAGACATGGCAGTACTTCTGTAAAGATAAAGCCTTGAAACCCTGTGAGGTGGTTCTAGTCTGTTCTGCAGGGTTGATGTGAGTTGCATTTGATTCTATAGCATTTGACAGGTTTTTTTGGCATGTTTGACTCCAAAACTTTCTTTTCCCCCACTGGGTCGTGCTGGTTGTTATTGTTATGTGCTGTGGAGTTGGAACCGACAATAGCTGGCCTTCCATCAGGTTTTCAGAGGCAGTAGTGATTGCCCATCTTTCTTCTGTGGAGCATCTGGTGGATTCAAACTGTGTACCTTTGAGTTGGCAGTGCAGCTTCTATCTACTGGGTCACCAGAGCTTCGTAGGTCATACTAGTAATTGCCATCAAAGTATCTCGACAAAAACTTGCACTGGGGGAAGAGATTGTATAACAATGAAAGAATTTTTCTTTTCAAAATGAAGGCTGCATAGTGGAGTGGACTTGGGGAGAGGGATTATATATCAATGAAAGAATTTTTCCTTTACTTTTCAAAGAGAAGAGTGAACTGGGGGGAGATTGAGCAGGGGGAAAAGTGCAACAATGAATGAATGGAAATCCAATGTCTCTGTAAACTTTCATTAAAATTAATTCATGAAAAAACCCCAAATACCAAAAGAAAACAAAAGAACCTTGCATTTGTATTTAGTTGATTCGTATTTAGTTAATTGTAAAGGGTTGATTCAGTCATTAGATTTGAGAATGGGTAGAGATGATCCTTAATTGGGCTGGGATGATCCCTAAGTCACTGTTAATATATCCATTGTGTCTATAATGTTAGTTTTGGGATATAAATTTCTATATGTTTGGATACTGTTTATGAAAGTAATATTGGGATTCAACTTTTATTTACTCTTTACTTTTTGCCTTTTGATATAAAAATGATTCTATTTCAAACCTACACCTGTTTTTAAATTCCTTTGGGCCACAAGTCAGGCAGTCCAGAGAAAAGTAGTCCTGATATGTGTTTATACTGTGCTCTTTTTTTTTTTTTATACTGTGCTCTTAAGCTCAGAACTAACTACTGGGTTTGTTTTCCAGTACCAGGTCCTAGTTCTTCAACCACTTATTGATCTGTCCCTCCCTTCTTGCCTTCCTCTCCCCTCCAGAACCCTATTTTTAGCAAATTAAAAGAACCTACAAGTCTGTAGTCCTAGCCTTTGCAATTCTTTCATTCCATCAGCTTATTTATTTAATAGACATCTGTTGCTTACTTACTGGAATATAAAGTCAAATGAGACAGTCCCTGATGTCCACAGACCCCACCCTCCTATCCCAGATGGGAGACATTTAAGAATGCTAAAGAGGGAAGAGCCCCTTGGAAGCAAGACTTGAAGATACAGATTGTGTCCCCTTGATCTATTCTAGGACATCTCCTTAAGAATAAGAAGTAAGGTGAGTGGCCTAGAAGAGAGATAGGTGAGAAAAAAGGGAGGAAGTATAAAGTTTACATCCTTTCATTGACTTTATGGTATCTTTATTGAATCATTTCTAAAGTGTGTCGCCCAATCATATACAGATTGAAGTGCCAAAGACTTCATGTGAATAAAATTCTTGGCGGAAATGGACACTGCAAGCAGCAGTAGCAATTATTGTTTCTCTTTGTTAAAAAGTACTCATTATCTTTTAGTCATGAAGAAACAATCTTTCTAATCTAGCTGTGAGAGTGCTGGTCCTGATTCTTTGCTTCTTTCTTTAGGACCTGTTCAAGACCACCAAGGTGTATCCATGTAGTGATTGGCTTAAGGGACAGTTAGAGGTATCAACTTCCTGAACTATTGTGGGGTTTATCCCCTCTTTTTTAAAGTTAAAAGAGGAGAGGAAGACACACAAGGGAGTCTTGTTTAGGAATTTAAAATACTTGCACCTGTACTTAGTATATGTTGTTGTTGTTGTGTGCCATTGAGTGGGAACTGACCCATATCTGACCCTCCACTGGGTTTTCAGAGGAAATTCTGCATCCTTCTCCCCCAGAGCAGCTGGTGGATTCGAACTGTGTGTCTTTGAGTTTGTAGCACAGCTTCTTGCCACAAGGCCACTAGAGTTTCCATACTTAGTATATATTACATACTTAGTATATACAGATATAAAAACCCATTTTTAAAAAGGATACATTTTGAAGGTAGCTAATTCATTATGCCTTTTTAATAAAATTACTTTTTTTAGGCTGCAATTTCCTTATGAACATTTGATTAACTTAACTAGGTTAAGGTCTCCTACTTGCAATGAATTTACCACGTTAAAGATTTTCTACAGTCCTCTTAAACTATATGCATTATATGTATATAGCTGGTTTCTTTTATAAATGCTTGAACTTTGAGATCTAGTAGGTAGGTATCTTAGAACTAAGTTTGTGATCTCTGTGAGATCCTAAACAATGTGCTCTGTAATGTTAGTGTTGTTTTTTAAACATGAAAAACTAAAATCTTTGAATTTTTTAATATAATCTTTGAATGGGTGTGGGACATTCCAAATTATCTTCCCTTCCAGTGAATGACATCAGGATCCATGATTAAATTAAGGCTGCTGTCATCCCACGAGGTAGTTTATTGTATATATACTAAATATAAATGAGTAACCGAAATGTCATTCTTGCTGCCTTTACTTCTAATTGATATTCTTCTCTGTGATAGGTGTCGTTTCAGCCAGATGTTGCATCCAATTTTTGAGGAAGCTTCCAACGTCATTAAAGAAGAATACCCAAGTGAGAACCAAGTCGTGTTTGCCAGAGTTGATTGTGATCAGCACTGTAAGTACCTCGGTGGAAAGTGTGGAAGAAGCTGTCTCTTCCCCTGCCTGCCCACACACTTGCTCTGGTGGTTTTTTCTTCTGTTGATCTACTTCAGTGAGAAACAAACCAAAAGGGTTCTAGTGACGTTAATTAAATTGTTAATATTTAATCTTTGTGTACTTAAGACACTACTTTGCCTTTTGTCTGTGGAAAAGTTTTTGTTGGTTTTCTTTTTTCTTTAAATATGTTATGGATGATAAGTCATAGCCAAGGTTGTTTTCCACCAAAGTAAAGATCAAAACCTATAAATAGTGTTCAAGTTTTCTAATTAAAAATACCTTTCTTTAAAATCATGCAGAAATACCATCCCAGATAATCACTGATAATATTGGTTTCTATAGATTTGCTTATCTGTATGCATGAGAGCATAAAGCATTCATTCTTTTGCATGTCTTACTTTGCTCAGCATAATTGTTAAGATTCATCCATACTGTGGCATACGTTAGGATTTCATTGCAGACTGAGTAGTATTGCCGTATTTGTTTACACCACTTGTTGTTTCTCCCTCTTACCCACGTTTTGATTGTCTCCACCCTTTGTCTAAATGCTGCAGTAAACATGCACAGGCTCCTATTTACATTCCTACCTTCATTTCTTCTGAGTATGGATTGGAGTTGCTGTATCATGGTCAGTCGTTGCCCTAGAATTGAGAGTAACTCCTAGAAGACTTCCCAGTGGGTTTTTAGACTGTCAGTTGCATAAGTGAAGATTCCCCCTCTTTCTCCTGTTGGTGTTTTTGGACTGCTCATATTTTTGAACCTCCAGAGTTTGAATTAGTAGCACAGAATAGGACTAGCCGCAGAACTCCCTGGGGACTAGGCCACCAGAGCTCCTTGGTGATGGGGTAAATGTACGGGTAACTTTTGAGAAACTTAAAGCTAGAACTGTTATTCACAGTGACAGTGCCAATTTACATTCCCCCTGGTGGTGGATGAAGGTTGTGATTTTTCTAAATCCTGGCAAACACCTGTTGTTGTCTCCTATTTTTTCTGTTATGATTGCCATTCTAATGGGAGTAAAAGTTGTATCTTATTGTGGTATAGTTTGCATTGCCCTAATCACTTAATGATGTTGAGCGTTTTTTGTGTATTTTTTGGCATATAGGGATTAAAAAAAATGATTGAGGTATATATGACATAAAACAGTTTACAGCTGTAAATTACATAATATATAGGTTTGATACCTATATATACCCAGGAAACAAAAATAAAAATATTGCATGATTCTGTCACTCCCAAAAGTTTCCTCAGTTTTATCCCTCTAGCAACCCTGCCTATGCTTTCTTTATCCCTAAAAGACAACAGATCTACTTTCTGTCATTAAAGACTAGTTTGTGTTTTCAGTATTGTTACAAAGATGGAATTATACAGTGTGAATCTCATTTTGACCTTTTTCTAAACTCAGCATATTTATTTTTTAGATTCATGTTATTGCATGTATCATTCATTTTTAGAATGGCATTTATTTGTGTGACACATTCTTTATTCAAACAAAAAAAAATAAATACCCCAATTTGTGTATCTGTTTTTATCTCTTCACCTGTTGGCAGATGTGGGTTGTTTTCTGTTTTTAGCTATTACAAATGTAGCTGCAATAAACATTTGGATATTAAGTCTTTGTGCATATGTTTTCATTTCTCTTGGGGAAATACCTAGGAATGAAATACCTGGGTCATATGGTAGATACATATTTTAACATTTTAATAAACTAAATACAGTTCTCCAAAAAGTCTATACTGTTTTACATATTTGTTTGCAGTGTTTTCTCGCATTATTGTGGTCTGTATTCTATCCACTCTGCTTAATTTTTCATTTTCTGATAGACATATAATTGTGTCTTCTTGTGGTATAAGTTACATGTCGACATTTCCCTGATGGGAGCTCTTGTTGCATAGTCTCTAGAGAGTTGAGCTGCTAATCTAAAAGCTGGTGGTGTGAATCCACCAGGTGCTCTGAGGAAGAAAGATGAGCAACTATCTCCTGTGTAATGTACAGGCTGCGGAACCCACTGGAGTGTCTGTGTTGCTGGAAGGTCTGTGCGTTTTGGCTTTGGGTTCCCATGTGACTTTGAGAAGTAGCTTATTTCTAGGAATGACAACAAAAAAAGCCCACTGGGATTTTAATTTGAGTTGTTTTGAATCCTTTCACCAGTTTTTTGAGAATTGTCCTTTTAACCATATTGAGTCTTCTAATCCATTGTGTGTTTCTTTACTCACTTGGGCCTTTGCTTTTCCTCAGTGATGTTTTGTGGCTTTCAGTCTGCAAGTTCTTTGTCAGGTTTATCTCTAAGTATTTTTTTTTTTAATTTTTGACCCATTATAAATATTTTTAAATAATCTTTTTGTCTACTAATTGTAGATACATAGAAAATTGGCAAAGAGAACATGGTTTCTTATGCCCTTTATTCCATTTTTCCTAGTGTTAACATATTTGTTAAATTCAGAAATTAATATTCTGTTTATCTGCTATTTTTAGTCAGATTTAGCACATCTTTTGTGAGACTTTTCTTATATTTCTTTTTTAATACTATTGTAAGTGGCATTGGTTTCTTTATTTGAATTTTTAGTTTCTTGTTAATAAATAACTTATTTTGCATATTGAGTCAGTATACAAAATGCATGCTATTAGTCTACAGCCTGTAAACCCACTGGAGTGTCATCTTAGGAGTTAGTTGTGACTCACAAGTTTTACTCAGTTTTAGTTGAGTTTCTGTATCTGTAGAGTGCTCCACTGACATAGCCTGTAGGAAGTTGCCCTGCTAACCCAAAGGGAGTACCTCTCTTGGCAGTTCGAATCCACTAGCAGCCACCAGGGAGAAAGATGGATAGGCTCTTTCCATGCCGTTTACAGCCTCAGAAACCCAATAGAAGGTCCCCTATGAGTTGATTCTGCAGTGAGTCACTGTGAGTATTGCTCCAGTTATCTTAATCACAGCCCCTGGTGTTAGATAATGTTCTTGTGCACTTGATAAAATTAACAAAAGATCCTAAGTTGGAATCCACTGGAAAGATAAGGTGAACTGCCACCTTCTTGATCCCTTCAGGATATGGAATGTGTAACATACTGGATTAGGTCATAGAGATGTGCTAGTGAAGCACACACCCTCTGGAAGGCATGAGAAGGCAGTGCATAATTTACGTATGTAGAACTTTTCTGAAGGAAATGCAGTGGGTGCTGATCTGGGAGGGTAGGTAATTCTTTTCTAAGGAGCTTGAATGAAGAATTCTAATTACTAAAGGACATGTGAGAAGAACATTTCAGACAGAAGGAGCAGTAGGTGTGAAGTTTCTGGGATGAGAGAGAACTTTGGGCTTGCAGGGCACTGGAGGATATAGATCATTTTGCAGATGAAGGCACTGAGAGACTCAGAGAGGCTAAGTTATTTGCCAGGGTGACATAGTACACAGGAGGTAGAACTATACAGCTTTTACTAGGTAACTATGTTTTGAAAGTTAAACTAGAATTTAAATGGAATTTTCTTCTGAAAATTAAAAATTTACCTAGTTTTAGTACCAAAAAAAAAATCACTGAAAATATTTTGTGCATGATGGAATAAATTTATCTAAGCTCTGGCTAAATTTGTCTAGATTAGTGAACCAGTATATAAATAATAAAACTAAAATTATTTGTATGTAATAGTTTTTTTAACTAGTAGATACAGGACTTTTCTCAGCTACCATGTGCCTACTGACTCATATACATTTCAGAAAGTCACTTAAAAAAATCACTGAACTTGATTCTCCATTCTCCCTAAAAGTGTTTGCATGTATGTAGCAAGTGAGAAAAGTGGTAAGATGTTGTGAAGTTTTTAGGTGAGGGTATTGGTGGTGCTGCTGGTGTTGTGTATTTTCAAGTCAGAATCAACCCCTAGCTGACCATCTGGCGGGTTTTCAGATCGCTCTGGAGGAGATTGCCTCGAACCACATGTCTTTGGGATTGCGTCAGAGCTTCTTGCTGTGAGGCCACATTGGCTGTCACTCATACCTTGATGTGTAAGAAAAGGAAACTCTGCCCGATCCAAGCCATCCCCACAGGCTCTGCTATGTCCAAACCCATTGTTGCAGTTACTGCATCTGTCTATCGTGTTGATGGTATTCCTCTTTTTAATTAATCCTCTCCTTTTCCCAGCCCTCCAGGGACTGGCCCCTCTTGATAATATGCCTGAAGTATCTGAGATGTACTCTCACTAGTCTTGCATCTATCCAAAGAACACTCTGACTGCACTACTTCCAAGACTAATTTCTTTGCTCTTTTGCCAATCTTATTTGCAACACCACAATTCAGAGGTATCAATTCATCATTCTTCCCTATTCATTCTACAACTTGCACATGCACATGAAGCAGTTGAAAATGCCTTGGTTCACACACACTGTAGTCTTTAAACTGACATACTTGGTCTTTAGCGCCCTGAAGAGGTCCTCCACTGCAAAGTTGTCAATGCAGTATGTCGTTTGATATTTTGAGTCTGCTTCATGGGTGTTGATTGTGAATCCAAGCATAATTAAATCCATGACAGCTTCTTTGTTTTCTCCATTTATCATCGTGTAGTTTATTGGTTCCGTTATAAGAGCTTTTGTTTTCTGTTTCTAAAGTATAATCTTATATTGAAGGCTATATGGTAACAGTTTTGTCAATAAAGTCTTCATTTTCTGCAGCAAAGTTGGGCCATCTGCATATCACAAGTTGATAAATCTTACTGCAATTGTGATTCTACATTCTTCATATAATGTAGTATTTAGGATTATTTAAGGATCTCTGGTGGCTTAGTGATTAAGGAGTTACACAGCTAACCCAAATGCAATGTTATTCATAGTTTAATTTGATCCACAGAGTTGAATACCTTTGCATAATCAATAAAACACAAGTATATTTCTGGTATTTTTTTCAGTCAGGATCCATCTGATGTCAGCAGTAATGCCCCTCATTCCAGAGTTTATTCTGAATCCAGTGGGAATTACT